ATATATATATATATATATATATATATATATATATATATATATATATATATATAACAATTAATATATTCTACATACAGATATCTTCCTTTTAACTTGACGTTATAAAATTCCCCAATTTCTATTTTAACATGATAAGTATATTTCTTCTAACTAGAACAGATCAACATTCTCTCTTTCAATGCTTCCTACGAAGATCTTCGTACACAAATATAAACAAGTATCATTGAAAGCAATGTAAACAAGTATCATTGAATACAATATTTCCCGTTTGGTGAATACTTCCTACAGAGATTCTCTCTGTGTAAACTCGCTGGCAATTCTCGACATCGACTTATTGAAAATCTCATTGAGATTCACGGCAACGGATATAATAATCCGGCATATGGATATAATAATCACCTGGCTTCAGGATACCGGTCTCTACGCGACCGACGGGCACGGTACCGATCCCGCCGATCTTGTAGACGTCCTGAAGAGGCAGTCGCAGGGCCTTGTCGGTGGGCCTGGACGGCGGCAGTATAGCGTCGAGAGCCTCGATGAGCGTCTTGCCGTCGGCGTTGCCGTCCTTGCGCTCGACCTTCCAGCCCTTGTACCAGGGCGTCTTCGGGGACGGCTCGAGCATGTTGTCGCCGTGCCAGCCAGAGATCGGCACGAAGGCGACGGAGGCGGTGTTGTAACCGATCTTCTTGATGTACGACGATACCTCCTTCTTGATCTCCTCGAAGCGGGTCTCCGAGTACGGCGGGTCGGTCATGTCCATCTTGTTGACGCCGACGATCAGCTGCTTCACGCCCAACGTGAAGGCGAGCAACGCGTGCTCGCGGGTCTGGCCGTTCTTCGAGATGCCGGCCTCGAACTCGCCGATACCGGCCGCGACGATCAGCACCGCGCAGTCCGCCTGGCTCGTACCGGTGATCATGTTCTTGATGAAGTCGCGATGCCCAGGCGCATCGATGATGGTCACGTAGTACTTGGCCGTCTCGAACTTCCACAGGGCGATGTCGATAGTGATGCCGCGCTCACGCTCCGCCTTAAGCTTGTCCAACACCCAGGCGTACTTGAACGAGCCTTTGCCCATCTCCTGCGCCTCCTTCTCGAACTTCTCGATCGTCCGCTTGTCGATGCCACCGCATTTGTAGATCAGGTGGCCAGTCGTCGTGGACTTGCCCGAGTCCACGTGGCCGATCACCACGATGTTTATGTGGATCTTCTCCTTGCCCATTGTCGAGGCGCTCTAACTACCTGTCGAGACAGAATCAGTTCTGGCTGGATATTCGAGGAAACAGGGACGTTCTAACCGGGCGTTTGCACTGTGAATTCTGATACTGTATGTTTAGACAACGTAAACTATGTATGAGATGTTATCTATGTAGACAATGAGTGATCTATGAATGTTGTTTAATTCGGGAGTAGTCATTTATTTTGCATAAACAATCATTTGGGATATTTTTTTATATACCCCAATTAAAAGGTACTATTAACAACATGCTGCATATTATTGATTCTTCTATAAATTATTAATATTTGAGAACATTATGGATATAAATCTACTCAGTATTTTCTGAAAAAAGTAAGGGGAGATTAAAAAATATCTAAAAAACGGAAGAAGCATATCAAACGGTTCATTATGAAAGTATTTCTAAAAAATGAAAATATCATTTAATAAAATACTTTCATTGCGTATTCTCTAACATATGGAGGTCGTTTAAAAAATGTATGATTTGCTTAGAAATTAATGAAAAAATTTGTATTTTTATTTGTGTAGAATTCTGATGTAAATTTATAAATGGTGTTCCCTCAATAAGTTAAACTCCATAAAATTCTCCTGTTACATTCTCAAACCCTCTCTTCTCCCCAGAGAGAATTAAATATATCACATCTGTCACATGATAAAATTAAAATTTCATGCAATTTGTTTTTCGCCTCTTTTAAACATTACATTTATAATTAATATCCGAAACAGGTATACCAACTGTCTGTATAATTTAATTATACTCTTTCTTTTCTGTATATTTTAAGATCATTTCTAATATTCCATGTAAGTTTATATTGTCTACATGAAAAAAAAACTGTGTATACATCAGGTAGAAAATACGTAAACAATTCGCATAGATATAATCTTGAAATCTATAATACAACTCTGTTCCTGTGTATGTGTTACATACTTATCTCTTTTCAGAGAAATCTATCAATCCATCACATAATGAAAATTTCATGCAATTCGTTATTTTCTTCAAGCTTTGCAACTAACATCCAGAGCAGACTAACATTGCATATTAACTTATATCGCAACTAACATCCAGGTAGCTATCTTATAATTTAACTATTCTCTTCTGTATATTTTGATGTAATTTACAATATTCTGCATAGCACACATTGTCTACACTGCATAGTTTACATTGTCTAGGAAAGAACGTGTATATATCACGCAGATGTAAACAACCGGTGCAGAAGTAATCTTGAAATCTACGGCACAACTGTGGCTCTAACTAATGATCGGGCAGCAGACGGGCCGGCCGTCGGCGTTAGCGTCCGCTTGTATATAGCGATCGATCTCAAAGTTGATTTGATGGTTATAGCGACGTGATCTAATACCGTACGAGACGTGTTTGCCGCTATAGCGAGACCATATGGCGCAATAACGTCTATAGACTGGCCGTCTTCGCTACTAAATCGGCATACGGACTCAAGGGAAACGTCTCTAGCCGATGTTGCACGTTTCCACGCATTCGTCTATAGACAACATTCTAAAATTATTGTTTCACACATATCATCTCTATTTACACGGAGAAACGGTAAACAGCAGCGACCGTTCGTAATCGGCTTAGATCTGTTTAGATGTCGTGCAGAATTTAGATATTAACGTGAGTGCGGTAATATTAATAGCAGTTTGCGTAAACGTGCATGTGAATGTGTCACACGCTTTTTGAAATAATAGCTAAACGCTGCTTAAACATCGATGCCCCAGGATATCCATGATTCATCTGTATAAATATTAATTGACAACTGTGTATTTAGGACTGGGCATAAATTATCAGAAGCTCCGTGACGCGCTGACAGCTCTATAATTAATTATACGTGGACGATGAATCGTGCGACAATGTCGTGTAACGAACAGATCAGATTTAGTCAATCCGAGGACAGTCACATTATTTTTTGCAGCCTACCAAATGATTTATATGTTACTACACACATGTGGATAGATATGTGTTTGGCAGCAACTTTTACACGGTGAAGGTTGTGTCCCCCTCACGAATATTTCATGTCGCACTCATATTTACCACACAGAGTGACGAAATATAATAAAAGAAGAAAATATCTAAAAATCAAAAGAGAAATATATTTATTCGGTGAAGATCAATAACACATTCATTTAAATTGCAACTCTTTTCTTTAAATAGAATAAGCAATTGCTTTCATGTAAAAAGCTAAGATTTAAAAAAAATTTTTTATTTTCAATGTTTATATTTTTTTTTATTTGAGAGATACTTTATACTCAATATAAAAATGTGCGTATTAGTAGAAGTAAATATGTTATACGTTGCTAGTATCTAACGAAAAAATATTTTTAATTTTTTTAGGTACTTTTTTTTCAGTGTAGAGAAATAAGAAAGAAAAAAATAGAAAAAAAGATTATTAAAATTTGCTCAAGGCACAATATGTCATGTAAAGTATACTATGAAAATCTAAGTGTTTTTCTATATATATTTATTCTATATATATTTTTTTAATATATTTGCATCAATCTAAAAAAATTATATTAAGCTATGACGTAAATTTAAAAGTTAATTAAAAAAAAATTAATTCATATTAATAAGTTTGTTAATTTTTAATTACTTAATTTTATTAATTTATATTAATATTAATTCAATACATTATATTTCCTTCATAAATGTAATTAAAAGTTGTAATTATGTAGTACAATTACATATTACCGTTACGTAATCACAAATACAAAAGTTAAAAATCGCAAAAATATCTTCTCATTGTCTCGCGTCGTGATAAGCGTGGAAGTTTATCCGGGCAGCTGCTTAATGCTGCAAAATTATGTAATCACTGTATCTGTAGTAAGCAGTATAAGAATTATCTGGTGGGCCATGGGTTGGCTAGGCACTTGATGTCGATAATTAATCCAGTCATACGACACCGACAGCACAAATTTCTATGTCCACCTTCTCGAATGAAAAATGGCAGCTCGAGCAGTTCCGCGCGCGGCGCGTTGATCGGATATTAAGAGGGCGATAAATATTGACGCGTGGCAGAGGAGGACCTTTTGCAGGCCACAAAGGGTATTGATTCGCTCAAGGAGACCCACGCAGGGCTCGTGAACTCTCGGGTGGACGTGTATAAATATGAGTGCTATCGGATCGAGTGTGCGCGGTTATTACCCGGTTGTGCCCGACGGCGCAATTGCGATTGCGATCCCGCAGCGCGCGGAAAGGAAGAAAGTGATGACGATGACGACAACGACAGCTCGATTATATCGACTCGCGCGCTTGGCGGATTCGATTGGCGGTCTGATCGCGGTGTCCCGATGTGAACTCGAACCGTGTCGCTGCCCAGGTAATCCGTCCCGCGAGACCGCCTTTTAGATCAATAAAGGGTGTACGATGCTGCCCTAGCAATCTCGCCCTACGTGTGCAAGGTGCGGTGTACAGGGTGTTTTAAAAGTCGCGCGCGCGACCACCCCCGAGTAGGACAGCCGCGAGGGCTCGAATCGAGCAGATCGATAGCGCGGGCAGACATTCAATCGTCAGCAATTTGCTCATTTGATTCCCCGGTGAAATCACCTGAACGCGCATAATTCCGCGATACATGAGTGTCGAATGGACCCATTTCCTAGGAAATTCGTGAGTTTCCGCACAGAAGTTTCTTTCACAGAAATAATCTTCATATCTCAAATAAGCTTTCGAGTATTTTTTCCTCAGTGTGGAAAATTCAATCATATTCTCGATATACAATTTTTGATAGGTCCCATCTGAACTGCCTGAACTGGTACAAACTAGTGTAATAAGTTAGAGTGAGACAAATATATTTGTCTCACTCTAACTTATTGCACCAGTGTGCACCAGTTCAGCTAAAAAGAACAGACCTAATCATATCTTCGTGACGAATGAATCTTCAGCCAGAAATCCAGAAACATTCCCGACTTGGAATTCAATGCGAGTCTTGTCGTGCAGAGCTTAGGATTAAACAATTCATCGGGAACTGCACGAACTGCACATCGATCGATGTAAATATCACGGCGCAAGGAGATCAGATAAACATCGTTAAACATGGATCAGCTAATTAAGTCCGCCTGCCCGGAGCCGGTGCAGGGACAAACATGACGTTACTTAGCGGAGTTACTCGCGAGCAAGTCTCGCCCCACGAGAGTCACGGGCCGTTGTGTGCACTCCGAAGGGGCGAGACCGACGTCTTCGACGTGAACGAGGCGGAGGTGCGACCGGGCACCGGCGGTGTTACGCGATTACTCGTCTTACGAGCGGCTTCTCGTCCACGCGATGCAACTATCCGCGTACCGGCCTCTTCTAATAATAGTCACAGCCCCACGAAGGCGGCCATTTCTCGGCGGCGATTACGCGCTCCGCAGCACCGCGTCCTCGCGGTGCATCACTCGCGGCGAATCCCGTGGAGAAGAGCCACCCTCGGGCACCCTCATTCCGCCGCACCCTTGGCCGCCCTCGTCGCCTCTCCTCTTGCCCGTGCAACTCGCTGCATCGCGGATGTAGCGCGAGGAGACGAAGGACACGGTTACGACACGTCGCGCAACGAGGTTACAAGAGGAGGAGACGGGGCGACGTAGTTGGTAGCACTTACCGATCGACTGTGTTGCCTCGATCGAGCGCGGCCCTAGGCCCTGATCACGCGAGCGACCTACCTACCCCGGAGGAGTCTCGTACAGCCAGGGACGAGCCGATGATGAGTTGAGCGCGCACCACGTAGCAGTCGCGTCCGGTTGAACTCTCGGTGATCTCTGTACGGTGTAACGATCTACGCGGCTCTCACGTAATGGCCGGCCGATCGGCTTTTGTCCTTACGTCCGAGCGCACTGTTGCTCGTCGACACACGGTCCCTTCACTTCCGCGGCGGGAAGCTTCTCCTGGGCCGGCTCGAGACGCGCCGTAGTAGACGCTGGCGACCGCGAGCTCGCGACGAGCTTACGAGGAGCGACGAGTCGAGGGCGGATTCGCCCGAGCGCCGCGCCGGCTCCAATCGATACCACGGCTGGCGCGCTTGCGAGACAGCCAGCGCGAGCCGGCTCGAGCTTGCACGAGAACTTCCGATCCGCCTGATAGAGTTACCCCTTACGAGGCGTTCGTAATGTGGCACGTTGCGTGGCGCGGAAACGGGAAACGTGTCGATGCTACGCGCGAACGGTTTACTCACCGGCGAAGATTCTCGATGTCGTCGGGCCTCCGCTGAAAATTTCGCGAACTTGCCTCCTCTCTTGCCGCGCGCACGGCGAAAGCTCGACGGCTCGAAGGATCGAAACAGAGAGGGACAGGGAGAAAGAGAGAGAGGGAGTGAGAGAGAAAAATTGACAAGGGCAAGGAGAAAGAGAGAAAGCTCTAGCTCGGAGGGTAAAGCAACGACAGTGGTGCTATCTGGATGTGTTCGCGGCGCTTGCGCCCGCGAGCTTTTCTTGTATTGCAAAAGCCCTCCCGATTGGTCCGGCCAGCCGACGCGCGTCTATTTTCCTCCGCGGCGACGACAAAAGAACGACCGTCGACGGACATCACGACGACTACGATTACGACGATTGCTCTCTCTCTCTCTCACGCGCGCGCGCGCGCGCCAGCCGTCTCGGTGCATTCCGCTTCGATGCGCAAGCTTCGCGTAGGAGAGAGCGACGGCCTTGTCCGATCCTGAAAACATGTTTTTCTCGCGGCTGATCCGCGAAGAAAAGCCACTCAGGTTGGGCAAGTCGGCCAATGGGACTGTGCGATGATATATCTTGCACGTTATTCTGCTTTTTATTGATCCCGAGCTCACATTTCTTTTTCGCGCGACGCCTGAGTCTCGATTCGACGCGCACGCGTCGTACTCGGGACACGCCGGATGGCGGGAAATTCGAAAGTGCTCTGCGCACATTTCGTGTGCTTTTCAATTAAGATAATCACTCTATGATACTATTAGAAAAATAATGATTAATACAAAATAAAAAAGCTCGACAAATTTGCTAAATGTTTTAAAAGTTTATAAATATGATTTATAATATATACAGTGTTTTTGTGTATTTTGTTGACATTATTTCGCAAAGGAATATTAATTAAACTTTCATAATGTTTAGAAGATATAAAGAAATAATCGTTTTTTATACTTTAGCATACAAGGTGAATGCCCCAATTAGTATGACCGCGTAATCTCATTGCGAAAAAAAATAAATTTATAATGTATGTCCCACATAGCAATAGGTCTTCATAGGATATCCTAATTTGATCAGAATGGTCCCAGTTTGAGGATCCTCCTTCTATTGTGGATCCCCCATGGTGCATTGCGTCCAAACACCCGGCTGCCAAAAAATTGGTGTCGATCCCGGGGTTTATTTGTATTATTTGCATCGGATGAGATGAGGCAATGGTGGAAACGGGTATACATGGATAGTAGGTCTTATGTCCAATTTCTTCACCTCCGGTTAACTTTATCTGTCGGATAAATGTCAACCGTGATGGTTAATCTTGCCAACCATAAATATGATTGGTCAATTTCAATAGAATAACTGGCAGATAAAGTTAACCGGAGGTGAAGAAATTAGGCATTAAAGGATAGCAACCTTTGACTTTGAGAGATTGACAGCTGTACCATTTGGTACAGTAACATTGTTTCTCTCTGTAGTCGCCGTGCGCTCGGGATCGCGCAGAGATCCCGCTTCCGAACGGCATCTCTGAGCGTTATCTAAGGAGGGGAGAGTGTCGTGAGCGTGGAATGTCAGGTAGCTCAGTGGTTTAGAGCAGTCGCCCGGCAAGCGAAAGACACAACAGGTTCGAGTCCCGGCCTAGTAAAACCGCGCTCTCGATATTTTTCTCTCTCTGGAACGAAAAAGATACGCAGATCTCGAACACACGGCGTCCCGCCATCACTTAGTACGTCCTCCTCCTTCTATGGTCGTGTAAATAAACGTCCTTTAAGGACGGTGTATTTAACGTCATGTTTTAAGACGTCAAAATGACCTTGCAAATGACGTTTAATTTACCATAGACGAATTTCTTTTTCAAATAAAAAGATAAGTTTGCTATTCTTATAGATATATTTTCATATAATAATAATGTTGTAACATTACAGTGCAATGTTGCAGAGATATTGCAGTGGCATTCCACAAGATTTAAAAGATGTCCCAAAGACATTCAGAGGATTGCTAAATGTCTACATAATTTTTGCTGTTACCATTCATTTGGTGGTCGTCTTTTAACGTTTGGTAGTCCATTCCTGATGTTTGGTAGTCAAAACTGCGTGTAATGTCAAGAAAAATAAAAATGTGAAGTTAGTCCCCTCTAAGTTAGAAAACCACTTTCAAACCATCATACATAATTTTTACTGTCACCATTCGTTTTGTGATCGCCTATTAACATTTGGTAGTCCAATCCCAACGTTCGATAGTCAAAATTGCGTGAAATATCAAGGAAAATAAAAAAACTAATATGAAGTTGGTCCCCCCAAGCTGGAAAAACACTTTCGAAGCATGGTACGTAATTCTTACTGTTACCATTCGTTTGGTGATCGCCTCTTTACGTTTGATAGTCCATTCTCGACATTTGGTAGTGGAAACTGCTCCAGAAATCAGGAAAAATAAAAAACGCATATGAAGTTGGCTCCCTCTAAGTTAAAAAACCACTTTCAAACCATCATATATAATTTGTGCTGTTACTATTTGTTTGGTGGTCGCCTTTTAACGTTTGGTAGTCCATTCCCGACACTACCGCATTATCTCTTAAGGACAGATTTCTGAAGTAATTTGAATAAGAAAATCCTAATACAAAAATGGCGAGGTTATGATACTTTTTAAATGCACATGTCGTCCCTTTTCCAAATATTGATACGGAAGTTCTATACATACAACAATATATGTAATAATAATCTGCTTTTCTATCATTTGAATAAACATATCGCAAATAATAACAATCTCGTCAAAATATTATGAATAAAATATCACTCAATACATTTATGAGAATCAGTAAGCTGTCACACATTTGACGTTTCTTTCAGGGATTTACAACTAATTTCATATCTTATGCAAATTCTCACTTATGTGCATGCACCTGTACTATTGTGTGTTGTACCGTACCTGAGCGCGCGTACTTTAGCCAATATAATTGGTCAACTTTAATCGTTTATAATTTGAAAAGTATTATAGTCTCGACATTTTTGCATTAGGATTTTTTTCTTCAAATTACCTCAGGAATTCTTAAGAGATAATGCGGTAGTGGCGGGACACGCTGTATATCAAATATATCTGTATCTTAATTTATTCTATCTCATATCTATATTCCACATAAATCTCTCTCTCTCCCCTTTCTCGTCTATTTTCCCTTATTAAACTCATAATTAGTCTTATTTTAGCATTTAAAAAAGTAACGAAAAAATAATGATTCGTTACTTTTTAAATAACGGTAACTGTAACAAATTACTTTTTAAGATTTGTAACGAGTAACTGTAACAAGTTACATTTTAGAGAAAATAACAGTAACGATAACGAGTTACTTTTATAAAGTAACGTTGCCAACCCTGGGTAATAGTTACTGCAACATGATTTATAAATAAATCATTGATAAGTAAATTCTCTTTTATCCTAAGTGACCAGTTAAGTTTACTCCAATTAAGTAGCATAATTAATTGTTACGCGCAGCGAGTTCGTCACGTAGCTATGACGTAATTTACGTAATGATATTATGTTATACATATTGTAATAGTGAGTCTATGTAAAGTCCTATAAAGCTCAAAGTTATTATTATTATTATTATTATTATTATTATTATTATTATTACACAATTCATGAGAATTATTATCTTGTTAATTTAATGATTGTTTATTATACTTAATTATAAGATATTACTAATTTATTATACCTAATTATAAGATCACTAATTCGAATAAAACATTTAAAATCTTAATACAGAAATAATTTATGTTTCTTTCACATGGAAGACATGTGACATCACCTATGAGATAGATAGTCATTTTTACACGAGTTTGTTTATAGCTTATACAACATTTTTGTGTATAAATATATATAACGATATTTTATTACCTAAAAAGTTGTACCTGTATAAAAATACCGTCAATATTAAAAAATATAAAAAGTGTGACAATCAAAACCTATCTTCCTTAATGAACAAATATACTTTTTATGATCACCAAGTCGAAATCATATTACACAGTATAAGTTATACATTTTCAGTTTTTCTAATTACGAGAAGTAGATAAACGCAAAATGAGAAGTGCGCAGAGCTCGTAAGTTAATTAAAAGCGCTTACTGCGGTCCTGCTGTTCTAACGCAGAGAGAATGCGATTCAAATTTTCTCGAACAAGATGTCGGCCACGATATCACGTGGCTGCTGCGATCGTAAATAGAAGCAAGCAGTCACCGCAAAGTCATGGTGAGGGAGGTCAGTGTTGCTGTCTTGGAGAGGATCGTGCAGAAAATTCAATTCAACGAACGGCGACGTCATCTGAGATCCTGTAATTAATCGAATTAAATGTAACTCGATAGTGTCGATCGAATTTTGGCACTCCACAGTCGCTTATCGTCTTGAAGATGGAGGAATATTACAGTGATTCCGAAGAGGTCAGTGAAACTGTACCGACGCTCTGACGAAGCGTTTCAGCTTGACGCGCACTTCCACGTTGTAATTGGAGCATTCATGCCGAATAAAAGTGCTTTTTGCGATCGCGTGTGTCCCTCGCCGTTCGTATTTATTTTCCAAAGCAACCGATGTATATTCGTTTGCATAACGATCTGCACACGTTCTCTCTGACGAAATGGCGCAGTAAAATAATAAAATAAAATGTCAATTTTATGTTCCAGAAGTCTTAGCCTGAATTTCAAATAAAACTAACTCATTTGTTGCATATTTTATTTGTTGATGAACTAGAAAGATTGTTAATTTATTGAATTTCACATATTTTCTTCTTAAATTTACATTTCATATTCTGACCATAAATATGATTGAAGTAATATTTTTCGTGTACATTAATATATATTAAGTAACTGAAGAGAATCGTGTATTGTATATAATATAAAAGTATACTAAGAGAAATTATCTGATAAAAAATTAAACGGACATTTCTGATCAAAATACCGATGAATTTTTGTATCCGATTAAGAAAAATCCAATGAGAAATCTGATGAGAAAATCGG